CCTTGCCCCTCGCCGGTGAGCTGCGAGCCCTGAGAGAGTTACTGCCCCTGGGCAGCGATGCTCCAGTGCTGCGGGCTGGCCGCGAGCTGGTCCCTGGCTGACAGGTGTTCCTGGTGCCTTCCTGCCGTGCTTTCCCTGGGCTGGTGTTTGCTGAGACACCGAGGTCTGTCGGCACCCGGGGTACCCTCTGTCCTTCCCTCCTTTGACTCGTCTAAATGACCCTCCTTCTGCTGTCTGTTTGCCCCTTGTCAGGCTACTGGTGTATTACATTGAATTGTGAGTATCAGACACGTTCTGAAATGTTCTGCCATGTTTTCAGTCTCCTTGCAAAATATGTGTTCCCGGGCCTGATGGATTCAGGAAGAAACACAGTCAGGTTTGTTAAAAAGGGGCCACTTATTTTTAGATGTGCAGTCTGATGCTTACTGCCTACTGCAGGGTAAGTTGGGCAAACATCTGGGTGCCCTTGAGCAGCAGTCCCAAGGGCATGGGCTGAGGGGCAGGTGAGGTCCCCTCTCCGGAGTCGTAACAGGATGCGGGGGGCACCAGTGGGGCTGTGCCCCATCCCTGTGCAGTGCCACATCTGCTAACATCACGCTTGAGGGGCATCTGCCCGGCCCTTTCTCAAACCTACAAGGCCAGGCTGCGTGGCAGGTCTAGTCCAGTGCTCGGCTGCCCACAGCTCAGCCCTCCGGCTGCCCGGCCTCAGGCTGCAGTGCTGCACCAGCACACAGGACCAACCCTTCCCACCCCTTCAGCAGGCCTGAAAGGAGCGCACTGCTGTGCTGGCAGGCAGGAGGGTGCACCAGGCCTTAAGGAAGTGATTGCTCTTTCTGTGGTGGTGCCCATTTCTTAATACGGCTTTAATCAAAAGTGATGCTGGATAACTTATAAATGATGCAGAATCATTAACGATTGATGCATTGGGCAGGCTTTAACTGTGGCATGCTTTTCCCAGAGAGCCCAGCAGGGTGTTGGAGCATCTTGGCTTTACAGGAACGCTCTTAACAGTTGGCTCCAGAGAGTACGTTTTTTGGAGCCCTTGCACTCACAGATCTTTATGGCAGCAGCTCTGGCATGAAACTGTTCTGACCTCAGCTGCAGAACAGGCTGGAGAATGTTAGGCTTAATGTGGGGATCATACACAAAGGTTTCTATGGCATGAGCTCTCCTTCGGAGGTCTTTTTGTGACAACTATCAGTGAGGTCTCATCTTGCATATCCTTGGGATTAAACATTGCCCTGTGTTTCTAGGGTGAACTTCTGTAGTTCTGACTTCTGAAACTTCTTGTCCTGTCTCTTACTGCTCGGCATGCAAATCTTGTGTGCTCAGAAATGTCTTTTCTGCAGTTTGCTGAGCTGCAAACTGACCAAGGGACTCTCAGTTTTCCAATGAAGAACTGCAGCCTGGACATCTTCAGGTCTCGCTGTCACACAGGTTCAGGTGTGCTTGCCTGGAGCCTGTACAAAGTGTGTTTACAATGCGTGAGATCTGAAGCACTGACTCGCCATGCTTGCTGTGGCTCCGCCGTGTCCCCCCATGTCCTCTCGCCCTCCCATCTCTCGATTTGGGACATTTGGGAATAGGCTCTGGGTGTAGTAGCAGATCATGCTGGCTTTGAGCGTACTGTCTTTGCAGTTTGATACCAGCGAGGTATCCTCCTGGGATGCCCTCCTGCTGCCAGTGAGTGAAGGTCTCTACATATGGGGGGACCTGTGCAAGCTCTGGCTAAGTACAGTTCAGGCAATTCTGTCAGCCTCGTGTGGACCCAGCAGTATGGCTTCTGGAGCAGTGCAGTGCCCTTCTTCTCAAATCATAGAGTGACTCAGCCCCAGGGCCATGTCACATCATCCCCAGCCCAAAAGCCCAGGTTGGGCTCTCTGCAGAAGCCTAGAAAATTCTTGTGCAGAGCAGGGGCCCTTCTACAAGCTCCATCCACAGACTTTTTTATGTCGGATCTTGCCTTTAATTTCCGTAAATACACTTAAAGGTTGGGAAGTCCAGCTCCCCTCTTTGGGCATGTTCAGACCTCTTCTCATTCCGTTGGATGTAAAAAGCTGCCTAATCTATTACTGTAGATAGATCCTGCGAAGCACCAGATCCTGTTCTTGTCCTGAAGCCAGCTGGCAGGGTCTGAGTTCCAAAGAGGGGAGCACATAACTGCTACCTCCTAGGAATGGATCATGGCTCACGCTAACTCTTGAGCACAGCTCGAGTGGTTTGCACACATGCTGCCTGGTTCAGGCCAAAGCAGTTCCTGGGACCAGTCTCCATTATTGGCTTCCTGGGCTGTTCCTGGCCTCGTTACATTTGCTAGCATAGTGGTAGCCTTGGACAACTGTTCTTCTCAGGCCTGAAGGCTAGCAGAAACATTGCAGCACTCCCCATCCCCTCTTTGAAATGCTTCTGCCCGGGACAGTGCAAGGGAGCGTCCGTTTGCTCACTGACGGTGCTGTACGCAGCTCCGTGTTGGTTGTTGCACACTGGCCGTGGCCGGAGTGGGAAACCAGAGCACACCTGTGGGGAGCTCAGCTCCAGCGTGCACCGCGTACATGTGCGCCAGGCGGGTCTAGGGGCTGCAGCTTTATTCAGCCTCTTCTGCCGTTGGCTTTCGGGAGACCAGGGTGTGCAGGTAGGGACATGGCTCACAGACTCCCTCTCACAAATTAAGAGTGATGAACCGGATTCCCGCTGGCAAAACTCTAAGGACACACTATTTGTGGGATAAAGGATGTTCGAGTGTATTTTTGAATCCTTCCCAGTTTTCCAGCCTCCTGTTCTGAAAGAGAAGGCGCAGCATCCTGTGATGTCCTTGTTGGTGTTGTCCCCGATGACTCTTACCTCCTGGTGATGTGGCAGGCTTCTGTTGGGGATGCGCTCAGCCCCAGCGCCTCTCTGAGAACGTGTTTCCTGGGCTCTGTGGGTGCCTCCTATCTTAATTGCCCATGGCAGACCACAAACCCACCTTTCTCGGACTGTGAATCACACCTTTTTCCTGGTTTGATCTGGAGCTGGATATATTCAAATGTGAATGAATGCCTTTAAATAGCTGACCTACAGAAATTGCCTTTCCTCATCCCTCTAACTGTGGTTGTTGTTGGTATTACAGTTGTCTTTTTCTTCTTGTTCTCAAGTGCCCTGTGGCACTCTTTTTCTGTCTGTATAAATCACAGCATTGAACTTGTGCTACACAAGCAGCTTGTAGAAGGACACTGTCTTGATAACAGAGAGAGAGGACGCGTGAGCAGCAGCCTCAGTGTCTTTCTTCGTAAGCTCCTGTGTCCAATTTCCAGACAAAACTTGGCCTTGTATGCAGTCTGTGTACCTGTGTAGGATGCTGCCACGCTCCTAGTGCTGTGGAAGCTCAAAATGGTGCTGGTTCAGACCATGGGTCCATCAGGCCAGCTTTCTGAAGGACAGCAACAGCTGAGGTTTGCAGCTGGTGGCATGGCACTGCTGAGAAAGTCAGCTCTGCCTTCTGCATTGGGTTTTCCTCCCCACTGTAGAGCAAGGAGTAATGCCAGGCAGATGAGATGGCCAGATTGAGTTGCATAGTGTGTTTATTCCAAGCTGCCCCATTTTTCTGTCACAGTTGATATATAAATACTGTGTCTGGGCTGCTTCCTACGCAGTTCTGGGTGGTGTGCCAGGCATTCGTGATGTGTACATCCACAGGGCAGCCCCAAAGCTTAGAGGAGCCTGATTTTACCATCACAGTCTTGGTTGGAGAATTGCATTAATATAGGATTTGTTTGGACTTTCTGGACCCTACAGAAACATGGGACTTCCCTGCCAAGAATCTACTCTGTGCACAGGCTGAGCAGGAGCGTGTCATGCCAGGCAGCCCTACTTCTGCTAGTGCTGGAGCGGGATGAAGTATGCTTTCCAACAGATGAGCATCTGAGCAGCAGCGAAGGTACCTCAGATCTGCAAGCAGCTGCCCTTGTGAAGAACTGATGTGAATGTCATTCACCTCTCTGATAGCAGGCTCTCTGCGGTGCTCTGAGACAGGCTGCAGGGACTTTTCATGTGATTTTGAGCTGCAGGGACTGGTTAAACTGCCACAACAGTGTCTTTAATTCTTTTTTCACTCAGGACAGACCTTCATGCGTTTCCCGTTTTGATGCCTGCAAGGTGGAAGGAGCCTACCGGAGGCCCTTCGTGTCTTTAGCTGGGTCTGGCAGCCTGGACCTGTGTCAGCATTGCTAATCCCTTTTACGTGGAACACGTATTATGAGCAATGGGCTACGTCTGCCACTGCAAGCAAGCCCTTTAGAGAAGTGCCAGTCAGATGCCTCGCAAGCCTGTCCTCCTTCCCTGCTGTAGGACACTGCAGAGGGTGAGGTGTGCAGTGAGCACATTTCTCACCAACAGCCAGGCAGGGAGGAGTCCTGGCCAGGAAGTGAAGACTGCCAGAGCTGGCGAGTGCCACGGAGGGGTGGCTGTGCAGGCAGGGAGCAGCTCTGTGTCCACACACCTCCCACGCACACAGCGGGCAGCTGCCCACTAGCCCAGCAAGCACCATGCCATGCACGCGTTGCTGCTGGCAGGGGCTCAGCCTTGCGCACCTGCTGTGCCACCCCTCTCCTGGGGACAGATTCCCTGGAGAAGCTGCTCCCTGTTGCCCTGGCCAATGTGCTCTCATGGGCAGATGTTGGAGAGGGACCCCGTAGAATCATAGAATCACAGAATGGTTTGGGTTGGAAGGGGCCTCAAAGATCATCCAGTTCCAACCCCTCTGCCATGGGCAGGGACACCCTCCACTACATCAGGTTGCTCAAAGCCTCATCCAACCTGGCCTTGAACACTTCCAGGGATGAGCCATCCACAGCTTCTCTGGGCAACCTGTTCCAGTGCCTCACCACCCTCAGAGTGAAAAATTTTTGCCTTAGATCTAATCTAAATCTCCCCTCTTTCAGTTTAAATCCATTGCCCCGTGTCCTGTCACTACACGCCCTTGTAAAAAGTCCCTCTCCAGCTTTCCTGTAGGCCCCCTTTAAGTACTGGAAGGCTGCTGGAAGGTCTCCCTGGAGCCTTCTCTTCTCCAGGCTGAACAGCCCCAACTCTCCCAGCCTGTCTCCATAGCAGAGGTGCTCCAGCCCTCGGATCATCTTCGTGGCCTCCTCTGGACTCGCTCCAGCAGCTCCATGTCCTTCTTGTGCTGGGGACTCCAGAGCTGAATGCATTATTCCAGGTGGGGTCTTATGAGAGCAGAGTAGAGGGGCACCATGGTGGTGTGCTGGGGCGAGTGCCTGTTCTGAGACATCTTCTTTTGCCTCTCTCCTGTGCCTTGCCTCGGTCCGTCCCTGGCTCACCCAGACAGGCCGCCATCCCCTGTCAACGTGACTGTGACGCAGCTGAAGGCAAACTCTGCCACAGTCTCCTGGGACGTTCCAGAAGGAGACGTGGTCATCGGCTATGCCATCTTACAGCAGGTATCCCGGCTCTGTCCCTAGAGGGCTGAGGACCCCTCTCGCTGATTACCAGCATGCTCCCATGCCGGCCCTTTTGCCACGGTTTCGAGCTCCTCTGGCACCTGCCTGAGGACACCTCTGCTGTTGAGCAGCCCTTGCCAGGGCACCCTGTCTGAGCCATCCATCCTGGTGGGAGGCAGCAGACCATGGGCTACGCTGGGATAGCTGTCCCTCCAGTGGCTTCCCTGCGATTTCTCTGCATAAGGATGATGCTTCAGCCATGCCATAACCCTTCTTTGCTTGCCTCACTCCGCCTCCACAG